AATCCTGCAAAAACAATAATCAAGGACACGCGCCACGCTTTTCAAGGCAATGCTGCTTTCCATTCCCCCTACCCCCCACCCCCGAGAGGGATACAGTCAATCCAAGAGCCTGGTCTGATACCCAGCGCGCCTAACACCCGCGCCCAGCCCTCACCTTGCGACTGCAGAAGGAAATGCACGCCGCTGGGCAGGGGCGACCATCCTGCCACATGACTGCAACGCGTCACGAAAGGGACTAATGCGATTGGTTATGTGTTGTGCGTAGGGGGCGCGGCCTGCCCTTCTTCGGACGGAAAGAACGGAATGGGCGAGAGGCTTTTCCGTGCGGTGTTTGCTACGCCAGCTGCGATTCTCAAACTTCGGACACTTAATGGCGTTCCTAAAGCCCTACTCAGTTCAATTGCAAAACTTGTAAGGCGAAACGGTTGGAAGCCTCTGACTGCCCCCTGCCGGAGCCAGAAGTCAGAATCTATCCGTTAAAAAAGTTACAGTATCTCCCTCACCTAATTAACCTGATTTTCCAGATGCGGTTATCGATTGGGCTAATTACTGAAATCTCACAAAAATGTTTCGAAAGGAAGTTGATCATACAAAAATGCATAATTCGTGTGGAGGGAATAGCTTTTTAAGCCAACTCAAGGAAACAACTTGCTTAATATCAAGGCTTCCATCTTGGCAATGTTAATGCAACTCAGAAGCCACATGCTAGCCTTCATGTTTTAGCCTATAGCCATCTGATGCTTTCGTATGTTATGAGAAGGCAGAAAATTGATTAAGGGAACCACAGTTAGACTGACGAATTATAAATTCAGCCACGATTTTATCACCATGAGCCGTAGATACCCGTTGTATTATTTGCCGTCCCAGTGATTGGGATGGCTTATAAATATATAAATCAGCAAATTGGCCTCATAAAGAAATTATATGCAGTTCTTTCGGGTGCACTTCATTAAAAACGTGAGGCTTGAACTGGCCCCTTTTATATTTCGGGTCTATAATCCAGAATGGTTTAAAGCCCGGAGCATATGTGCCCCGCAATATTTTTGTTGAGTGTGAATTGTTTCTAAACACCGACTGTGGATTTTGTTAATTTGAATTGGCTTTATATGTTTTCTGTTGGTTTGATTGTATTGTTCTCTGTTTTTTTAAATCGTTGTAAGTCACCCAGAGTCATGCAGTTGAGATGGGCGGCTGTAAAAATCAAATAAATAAAAATAAACCATCCTATAAAAACGCACAAGGCAATTTTACGAACCTGGTTGCGTGAAGCATCTTATTGTCTCCCAGAATCTGACATTTTGTAAATATTGGACAACTTCATTCTATGCAAGTTGAACTCACAGAAGTAAATTTCGCCTTGTTTAATCAGGTGTCCGTAAGATCACAGGAGCAGGCAGTCTGATTTGGGACTAATCTCCACTGAAAATAAAAGAATAGACCTTTCTCTACGTATTCCTTTTATTCCGCCATTTGCCATTTTCACTGAGCATTCTTATCAGCGAACACATATCCTTTCTTCCAAAAACTTGTTTCTTGAAAACTTACTTTTATACGACTCCTCCCAGTAGCCTAATTCACGGCTCAAAGGAATCGGAATTACAATTTTCGAAAGCAAAACATCCCCGCCCTAAACATTTTAAGTACCCTTGAGCCAAGAGGACGAAAAGAATCTTGGGAGTTGTAGTTTTTGTCTGTCCCAACAATCCGAAAGAACTCACGGAGGTGGGGGGGGCACACCATAAAACATAAACAGACTACAAATCCCAAGTGGTCCCGAAGCGGTCGCAGCGGCGCTCGGGCTAGAAGACCCGCCTTCTCCTTGGCAGGTCTTCGGATGGGGCACTGGGGATTGGTTAATTTGACAGCATTCTCATTGGCTGATTGCTCTCAGGTTGGTTGGACGGCTGAAGAAGTCAGTTGGTATCCAGCCTCGCGGACTATGGCGTTCAGGGGGTGTGTTGGGCTCTGAGACGATGGGCTTGTGAACCCGTCTCTGGGAAGAGGCGCCCGTCCCGTGAGGCCATGGCGGCTGCTGGACTCAAGGCTGCGAGCAGCGGCATATGGAGGGGCCGCCCCGCCGCCGGCATCCTTCAACTGATGGTC